AGCCAAAATAGGAAAAGGATTAACAGGATACTGGCGGAACGCGTTTAATTAATAATGTTGACAGTTAGATCTGCGTGTTTGAGATGCTGGGAACGATATATACCTTCTGAAACTTTCAGTCGGCGTTAGTAAGTCTTTGAACGCCGCAGATTACTTCATTAACCGGGATACAAATTCTGATTTATCTCGGCGGATAATTTTAGTTTTGAACGGTGTGCGTTACATTTACTTTGAGCGCAGAAGTTTGATAGTTTCTTAGATGGTTGGAATATGTGGACGACAAAAGACGAAAAGGAACGACCAACTAAAGTCGTTCTTTAAAAAAGACTTTGCATCTTTAAATCTTCTGTAAACACGTAAAAATTTTATCTATTTAAAAATAAATATCGTAAGGCGAACGAAAGTTTCTCCTATGAATATTAAAAGACTTCTAAAGAGAAAAAGGAAATTCTCTTTTCCAGCGTTAATATTCTTGCAATTACTTTTATGACAAGCTGCTCTAAAGAAAAATGTTGGCTCAATTATCGTCTGGAAACATTATATTGGAATTCTTTAAAACTTCGTCAACCGTTCCGTTGCAAGTAAAAACATTAGCAGCATATTTAATCTTAAAACATTAAACGTAATTAAGAAAATTAGAAATGATACTTTCACGCGAGCTATATCGAAGTATTTCATAAGAAATGATTGAACGTGAAAAATTACGCTCGCAGATAAGAACAAGATCTCGCTGCAGATAAGAAAATCACGCCGCTGAAGGAAGTTGGATCACGACCGTGATCGTGATTCTGCGACCATTGTGATAAATCACTGTCGGTGATCTTGCACGCCATCTCTACCACCGATACGTTCAAAGTATCGAGATACTTTGGTCAGTCACTCTCCACTTTTTCATTTACATAATTACGGCAACGTGGCTATCTTGGTGAGCGAATTCGAATCGGCAGCGCCGGCCAATTCAATATTCCGGTAATTTCCAAGTTGTTTCGCTTGCGATTCGATCAAGCGATAAGCATTCTGCGAGTTATAATCAAATTCTCGGCCTGAAGCGCCGGTTACACGTACAACTCGGTGGAATCGGCCGTTGCTCGGCGAAACTAGCCAGCGGCGCGTGCAAGTTTCGCGAAATTTCAGCGAACGTCGATTGCCGCAAAACTACCGCTGCTGTGATTAAAGCGTGTCTTGCGAGAAACTCTTTCATCCGTAAGCGGATTAGGCTAACACGGTGGCGTTGGTTTCCACGAATTTCCACGGATCGTTGTTTGATGTCAATTTACGATTCGATTAAACCGGTCGATCGGGTCACGATCGGCCCCCGTCGGTCGTTAGTCAGGGCGGCCCTTAACAGATCACAGCCAGCTGCCTGGCATTGTAATTTCGAACATGAGCTATGTCCTGTTTGCCGCTCGTCAACGTATATACATACTTCGATTCTGTGGATCGAGCGATTAAGGGGACGGCTTAACGACGAAGGCGTTTCAACGTGTCTCATTTTGCGGTTCTGATTATTCGCTCGTCGCGACAGCCTTTAGTCGGCCTGCAATTGCGAAGATCCAGATGGGTTTCGTGTTTGCGAGGTCAGAGTATATTTGTACATGCACAGAGCCGCGATTATTCCAGGCGAATGGCATTCCAAGTAGGCAAGAAGCGACAATTTAAAATAACGAATCGTATCGAGTGTTTTATTATTTCTGCGTTGCAGATAACACGGCCGAAGGAGGACGTAATTTTCTGTCGAGATAGCACGTTTCCAAATAGTTTTCTGCTTTGGTATTTTAATATGTTTGAATTACAAATAACCAAGGGAAATATAATACAGTGTTGTGTTAAGCTAAATCGTTTTCAAATAATTTCCTGCTTTGGTATTTTATTGTCTCCGGGTTCCTATTAGCGTTTCAGGTACTTTGCTAGTTCTAAACCAGAAATAACACGGGGAAGATATAATTTTGCGCTAAGATGAATCGTTTTCAAATAATTTCCTGCTTTGGTATTTTATTTTCTCCGGGTTTCTATTAGCGTTTCAGGTACTTTGCTAGTTCTAAACCAGAAATAACACGGGGAAGGTATAATTTTGCGCTAAGATGAATCGTTTTCAAATAATTTCATGTTTTACTATTTTGTTGTCTCCGGGTTCCTATTAGCGTTTCAGGTACTTTGCTGGTTCTAAACCAGAAATAACACGGGGAAGATATAATTTTGCGCTAAGATGAATCGTTTTCAAATAATTTCCTGTTTTGGTATTTTATTTTCTCCGGGTTTCTATTAGCGTTTCAGGTACTTTGCTAGTTCTAAACCAGAAATAGCACAGGGAAGATATCATTTTGCGCTAAGACGAATCGTTTTCAAATAATTCGATGTTTTAGTATTTTATTTTCTCCGGGTTTCTATTAGCGTTTCAGGTACTTTGCTAGTTCTAAACCAGAAATAACACAGGGAAGATATAATTTTGCGCTAAGATGAATCGTTTTCAAATAATTTCCTGCTTTGGTATTTTATTTTCTCCGGGTTTCTATTAGCGTTTCAGGTACTTTGCTAGTTCTAAACCAGAAATAACACGGGGAAGATATAATTTTGCGCTAAGATGAATCGTTTTCAAATAATTTCCTGCTTTGGTATTTTATTTTCTCCGGGTTTCTATTAGCGTTTCAGGTACTTTGCTAGTTCTAAACCAGAAATAACACGGGGAAGATATAATTTTGCGCTAAGATGAATCGTTTTCAAATAATTTCCTGCTTTGGTATTTTATTTTCTCCGGGTTTCTATTAGCGTTTCAGGTACTTTGCTAGTTCTAAACCAGAAATAACACGGGGAAGATATAATTTTGCGCTAAGATGAATCGTTTTCAAATAATTTCCTGCTTTGGTATTTTATTTTCTCCGGGTTTCTATTAGCGTTTCAGGTACTTTGCTAGTTCTAAACCAGAAATAACACGGGGAAGATATAATTTTGCGCTAAGATGAATCGTTTTCAAATAATTTCCTGCTTTGGTATTTTATTTTCTCCGGGTTTCTATTAGCGTTTCAGGTACTTTGCTAGTTCTAAACCAGAAATAACACGGGGAAGATATAATTTTGCGCTAAGATGAATCGTTTTCAAATAATTTCCTGCTTTGGTATTTTATTTTCTCCGGGTTTCTATTAGCGTTTCAGGTACTTTGCTAGTTCTAAACCAGAAATAACACAGGGAGGATAAACATAATTTTGCGCTAAAATCGTTTTCAAATAGTTTCATGTTTTAGTATTTTATTTTCTCCGGGTTTCTATTAGCGTTTCAGGTACTTTGCTAGTTCTAAACCAGAAATA